TCTTTAAATTCCGTCAATTGCATGTATCCTTGTCTCCAAAAGGTTCATTTCTAATTGAGGAGTTTGAAGGACAAGGCGCAAACGTGTGGTTTTTGCTATAACGAGAAATACGTGCTGAAGTCTCGGAATTACATGGATCCTTACGGCTATGAGAAAGTTCGAACAGACTTTCTTATGCTTATAAAAATTGGAATTTTAGCGCGATTTTTTTCCCAGAATATGCATTCGGACTAGGTTTTTTTTTTTTTTTTTTTTTTTTTTTTTTTTTTTTTTTTTTTTTTNTTTTTCTTGTCAATGTTTTCAAGAGTCTGTACTCTAGATCCAATGTGTTTTTTTTCCAGTGTAGTTCCGTCAATGTATGCATTGAAATTGTATGGAGCATTATTAGAGAAGGTGCGTTAATAATTTCCGTAGTGATCGTTTCAGTCCTCGTGTTCCATGATTTTCATCGGATTCTATTTAAAGAATAAAAAAAAGAAGGAAAAAAATAGAGAATAAGCGTCACAAGTGGAAAATTCCTCATCGTCACCCCCGCGTTCCATTAACACTCATGCTGCCTTGCTAAGGAAGAACGTCGTATAAACATTCGAGAGTTGCCGAATTTTCCTTGATTAAACACATATTTTTGACAATATTCAGGCATATATATTTTCTTGAAATTTTCAGATATTTTATATTAAATTGCGTACAACTTTCTGAAAATTTTGGAAAATAATATTCACAATTTTCCCAGTTTTCGATTTTCTCGGAGGAAACTTGGCAACGTCTGAAGGCTCATATTGCGTTCTTCCTTAGCACGGTTGCATGGTGAACTTGCGAGATGAGCTCTTCCGGTTTCGGTTCGGTCTACTCTCTTGTGTAAGCAGACGAGCTTTTGCAGTCGAAGTGTGGTGCTCAAAAAGTTGTTGTGTGTCATCAAGGTGATGACTCTGATTTCTCTCGTCCATTGTTATTTGGCAGCAGGTTACGGGAAAGAAAAAACTTGTGAAAACTGCAATTATGAGACCGTAAGTATCTTTTAAAAATTTTTGCTCGATATTGGTTTGGTCGTTAGTCTCAACGACAATTGAGGGGCTCGGAGGTCAAGGCGGAAAAGTGCAGTTTTTGAAAAAATTGAGATATTAATGATTAAAAAAAAAAAAAAAAAAAAAATTTTTTTTTTTTTTTTTTTTTAATCATTAATATCTCAATTTTTTCAAAAACTGCACTTTTCCGCCTTGACCTCCGAGCCCCTCAATTGTCGTTGAGACTAACGACCAAACCAATATCGAGCAAAAATTTTTAAAAGATACTTACGGTCTCATAATTGCAGTTTTCACAAGTTTTTTCTTTCCCGTAACCTGCTGCCAAATAACAATGGACGAGAGAAATCAGAGTCATCACCTTGATGACACACAACAACTTTTTGAGCACCACACTTCGACTGCAAAAGCTCGTCTGCTTACACAAGAGAGTAGACCGAACCGAAACCGGAAGAGCTCATCTCGCAAGTTCACCATGCAACCGTGCTAAGGAAGAACGCAATATGAGCCTTCAGACGTTGCCAAGTTTCCTCCGAGAAAATCGAAAACTGGGAAAATTGTGAATATTATTTTCCAAAATTTTCAGAAAGTTGTACGCAATTTAATATAAAATATCTGAAAATTTCAAGAAAATATATATGCCTGAATATTGTCAAAAATATGTGTTTAATCAAGGAAAATTCGGCAACTCTCGAATGTTTATACGACGTTCTTCCTTAGCAAGGCAGCATGAGTGTTAATGGAACGCGGGGGTGACGATGAGGAATTTTCCACTTGTGACGCTTATTCTCTATTTTTTTCCTTCTTTTTTTTATTCTTTAAATAGAATCCGATGAAAATCATGGAACACGAGGACTGAAACGATCACTACGGAAATTATTAACGCACCTTCTCTAATAATGCTCCATACAATTTCAATGCATACATTGACGGAACTACACTGGAAAAAAAACACATTGGATCTAGAGTACAGACTCTTGAAAACATTGACAAGAAAAAGGACTCTTGATTCAATCAGATTTAAGCTTAAATCGAAAGGAAATCCGCTCAAATTAAGAGACTTGGTTCTTGATTTAAGCTTACATCTGATTGAATCAAGAGTCCTTTTTCTTGTCAATGTTTTCAAAAGTCTGGACTCTAGATCCAATGTGTTTTTTTTTTGTTTTTTTTTTTGTTTTTTTTTTTTTCCAGTGTAGGAATTTTCCGTGAAGGGCCTTAAAACTTCCTTAGATTATGCGATTAGTACAGTTTGGGGAGATTTGAGACGGTAGTGAACATAACATCATAAAAAGGACGATGTTTTTCGAATTTCGAGTAAAATTCGATGGTATGCAGTTGGAGAGAGTATATAGCAAAGTATGGAAGTTACTGTCCGCAACACAAAATACCAAACAAAAGATAAAATAGTTTATGAGTTTAGAAAAAATTATCAGATAGGCGAGGAGCCTCCTCGAATGGCTCTACCCACGTGCCGGATAATGGCATGGCAATAGAGAGGTCAGGATCATAAAAAGGAAATACACTGCTTTCCATTGTATTATAAAAAAATGTATTCTTCACAGTAATTAAGTTTATTGGTTAGCACTAAGATTTAGTTACATTGTACACTTAATGAGGGGTACATTGAAAAAATACATGTTCAAACAGCGCGAGGGAATTGAAAAATGCACAAGACATTTTGATGAGATTTTGTCCTAAAATAATATCACACTCTTATTGAAATCAAGGTGTCAGCATTACCGGGATTTGCGTACATACCACTTCAGGAAGATTTTAACGGTTTTAAAAAAACGATCAGACAGTAGCGACTCTCACAATTTGACAACAATGTCTTTCCCCCAATTTAAAGCTATTACAAGTAATCGATTCTACATCAGGCAGGGCATACCCCGGTAAATAGAGATTGTTTCAAATGCATTTAAATGGGTAAATTACAGTGTTGCAGATTTATATAAGAATCACCACTCTCTAGTGCTAAGGAAGAACGCCGTATAGAGTTACGCAATTTTCTTTGATAAATTAATACATTTTTAGGAAACTTATGAATATTTTAATTCAATGTTTCAGAGAATTTAATCCACAGTTTTATTGGAAGTGTCCAAAAATGTAAGAGTGACACATTCATAACTATCCTTAAAATTTAATATTTTATCAGAGAAAATTTGGAAACATTCGAATATTCAGACAGCGTTTTATACGTTAGCACATGAGCTTAACATGGGATCAAATGAACACAGCCGTAACAGCCGTGAGACCAATTGGACTGCATTTTACAATTTGGAACTATAAATTCTGGCCCTGTTTAAAAACAATGTATTTGCCATTAGTTTCCCTATGCACATAAGTGTTTTTTCAGATGAGTCAGAATTTATAGTTCCAAATTGCAAAATGCAGCCCAATTAGTGTCACAAATTCACCGGGGTCTCGTCAATTTTGGTTTTTTTTTCTCATTTCTAATACAAGCGTCTACAATGTCAAACGCAATATTTAACATTTAAGTCTGTGACAGTAACGCTGAGACATCGAATTTTTACAAGCAGGTGGTTTAGCGCTCAGCTTGAAGTCAACTCTATCCTATCGTGCACACAGAAGGCCTATTCAGAGCGTATTCAAGACCGAATGACATATCAGATCATGATTTCGAGACAGAGCTTTATGAGTTACAATTTTTCAGTTTTTGATAAAAAAAAAGGGGGGGGGGAGAGGACATACTTTTTAATTCTTAGGGGAAACAAGATTTTACCCTTGTTTTCTTTGCTGACTTAGATGTTGGACTCGATAGAATTAGTTGCTTTCCAAAGGGGACAAGTCATTTTATATACGAGCTTTGAAATGCATGAAAATGCATGCAAACAGGGGTGTGTATGAAAATGGGCTTGTAACCCTTTTGAAAACAACCAGAAGTGGATCCAAAATTTTGGCAACACCGGATTCCCTCCATTTAAACTTATGTTAAATAATCGATTCTTATCGGAGCCCCTGGCCCCTCCAAGAATCGATACATTTCCATAGGTTTAAATGGAGAAAAACAAAGTTGCCAATTTGCTGAATCCACCAATGAAAACAACTGATTCGAAAAGCGAGCGAGCTCTTTCCGCACTACTGGCGCAGCACCAATAGAGTGAAATTTTGAGAAAAATTAAATAAAAATTGAAAAAGGAAAATGATGGTTGAGTAAACTTATGTACACTAAAAATAAAGTTAACATTTACATAAAAACTTAACAATCTTAAATCTTAGAAATATTTGTCGTTGGCACGCTTGAACTTTTGATCTTGGTTTAGACTCGACACGAGTTTTAAAATGGAGGCATTCAAAAAAGAAGGAATTATTATCCATCTGGCGCGGGCCCTGTCATGCATGAATTTGAATGAGTCTTAGGGCTCAGGTCTCAATGGAGATAGTACCTTCTAAATTAAATACGTCCGAATGTCTTTTTATGAGAAGGTGATAGCCTGTCAGAAAAAGAAATGCAGTCAAAGGGAAAATCAAGTGTGAAGTCAAATGCAAAAAATACCTAAGGTTGCGTTGAAAAAGAAAGTGGATCCTAACTGGAATAGTTCTTTAAGAAATAAAATCTTAATTTCAACAGGAAGACTTCAAATTTAGGCTTTCAAATAAAGATAACAGAGTTTAGCCGCACACCCGAGGCTTATACTGCCGCGCTAAGGAAGAACGTCGTATGAACCTTCAGGCGTTGCCAAATTTCTTTTGATAAAGCACGAATTTCCTGGTAAACTTATGAATATTTTTCTTCCGATTTTTCAGATAATTTTCCTCGCAATTCTACCAAAAATTCCTGAAAATTTCAAGGGAAGATATTCATAACTTTTCTCAGAAATGAACATTTTATCGACGGAAATTTGGCAACTCTCGAATGCTCATACGGCGTTCTTCCTTAGCATGACAGTATAATACTTGGCTTGAGAGTTTGTCATGACCACAAAGAGAGATAATCTGTTCATATCATTTTTTCCCCTTAAAATAAAATTGTTTCCTTTCCAGAAAGATAAACTAGAGATCAACCGAGAAAAAACTGTAATACTACTGCGTAATTCCTTTCCAAATTGCAGGCTTTTTCCACATTTTTGCTCAACATTTTTAATTGTGATGAAAAACACACTAAAATACTAATTTTTTTAGACTTTGTCTACAAACAAACATCGGCAACAAATTAAACGGCAAAAGAAAAAGGTTTTTAACAAGGTCATATCCTTTCTTCTCCTAGAGAATCTAGGATTCTGAGAGTCAATTAGACGCATAGAAAAATAACATAAAATTGACAATTCCAGCGCAGCTCTGTACATTCTAAAAAATACGGATTGTACACTCCGAAAAAGAAGCCGACGTTTGGGAAACGGTTGCCTACTTTATTCATGCGGAGCTGGTGACAAATTCGTCTTCAGCCCCTATACTAAAATTATTGGTAAATATTACGAGTACGTTATTTACATAACAATAACGATGAACACGTAGACTAAAATATATGTGTACAAAATTCAGGTTTTGTATAACGTCTTAAAGATTCAGAATGACTTCAAGAAAGTAACCTTAATTAACGCGAAAAATCATGCACTTGTTTGCATGACATTTTTATTCGATTTTGTCTGAAATCCTCTTTAATATAGAGCGGCAAAATTTTTTCTCGCAAGGAGCATCTTTCTTGCTAAAAAACGGGCGGTGCACCAAAAAAAAAAAAAAAATAATAAAAAATAACTTATTGGAGAGCATTGACTTGGATGCTAGCCGCTGCGGTTATAAATTCATCTTTGGAGTGAACTTAGTTTACTCCAAATAATTTAAGAGTGTACTAATGCTTTCATTAAACTTTGATCTGTTGTAAAACATGTTCAAGATAAAATTAATTTTCATTTTGATGTATTCATGCTAAAAGGAACTTAATGCATATGGTTCATGTGCAACATAGTTTGTTTTAGCATAGATACGTCCATTTCTGACACTTAATCGTGGTATTCTTTTGAAATGATTAATAATTATAGACAAAATGTACAAGGAAAATACGCTGGAGTCAAGCCGACTTCTTTTTACGTTGACTCAGTCAGGAAAGAGTGAATGGCTGAATCCAGAGTTGACAATGAATGTCTTCAGCAGTACGATGTATCCTACAATAAGACGAAGACACATAAAATTCAGCAAACATGAACAGGTGGTACGTAGGCACTGAATACATATCTTGAGGATAGCATGCATAGAACGTTAACGAGACAGAGGAAGAATCATTTTTATCGAGGGCGTCTAACAAAGAATGGAAGGTTGGCGACAAAGCATCGTAGTTTAAGTTTTTCCATCTAAATTCCGCGCGATACTCAATGAACACATTATATTGATCAAAATTCAACTCAAAAGTGAGAAATTGGCCATATTGGCGCTGTTTCTAAACTGCAATTGGACCGAGTTTAACAGAAAGGAACCAAGCCACATCAGCCATTGCCAAGTTTAACTGGGCAATTAATTTTTTTACGAGAGAACGTTTGTTCGGATTTCTTTGAAAATTTTAAGGAATTTTTTTTTTTTTTTTTTTTTTTTAAATATCTTTATTAAGTTTTAGATACATAATTGACATAATTTAATTGATCTAATTTTAAACTGTAATTAACTTAACTATACTATTACTAACTTAATAAAGCCCCGGAACCGCCTGGAGGCATTACGTCGGGGATGTTGGCTGTTGGAGCGGAGTTGTTTGTCTTATTGCTATTAGGCTTAAATTTATTAATCTTATCGTCTAATATTACTTTTATATATTTATAACCTAGATACCAATTATGCTTACTCTCTAACATTAATTTTAATAAATTTCTTGAATCAATTGGCTGTTTCATTTCCGATTCTAAACTTTCCTTAAGATTAAGTTTCAATTTACAAGAGAAGAAGGTATGATCTGGAGTGTCAATCTCTCCACATGTGCATAAGGGAGAATCTATTAAGTGTCTTTTTTCTAAGTAGCTGCCGAAGGCACCGTGGCCAGACATAAACTGTGTCATATAAAAATCGGGATTTCCATGATCGCGATCAAGCCATTTATCAAAGTCATTAATTATGGTTTTTATCCAGAAATTGCCCTTTTCATTAATCCATATCTCTCTCCATTTGTCTTTTATATCTTTTTCAACACTTAATCTATCCTCGCCTCTTGCAATTCTTAGTTTCATTTCTATTAATAAAGTAGCTGGGGGGACTCCAGAAATAATGTCTTGTGCAAAGTTTGACACGGATTTGTACCCACAAATGAGGGTTTTTTTTAATGGACGGATAGATGATTCGATTAGCTTAGTAGTTTTCTTCCAACAGGTGGCTGAAATCCAAATGGTTATGCCATAGAAAAGAATTGAAAGTAGAGAATGAAATATGATCTTACGTCTAAGAAAGGTTGGACCAAAACAATTAGGAAGAATTTGATTGTAATTATTGGCTGTTTTCTTAAGTTTTTGGCAAGTTAGTTCTAGATGTTTGTTAAAGTTGAGATTTTTGGTCAGGTAGAATCCAAGATATTTCATGATATCGCTAGTTTTAATAACAGTGTCATCTATTTTAATTTTTAAATTTTTGTCTTTGGTGCTATTTGCTAGAATTAGAGCTTCTGTTTTGTTGTCCTCTATAAACAATTTTTTCTTCCTGATTTTATTCTTTAATTTTTTAGAAGAGCTTTCAGTTTCTTTTAGTAATGTTTCTTGATTTTCGGACTCGAAGGCCAAAAGGGTGTCGTCAGCATAGACATTCTTATCGACGTTTGGACCAAGTTTCATTCTCACAATCTCATCAAATATGATAAGGAAAATAAGGGGGCCCAAAATACTACCTTGGGCACCACCAGAGTTTAACTTAATTTTGAAGTCGGGGAACACTAAAAATCTATCTGTCAGATAGGATTTCATAATTCTTATCAGGTAAGGGGGTACATTTCTTTTACAAAGGGTGCTTATGAAGTCCAACCAGCTAATGCTATTGAATGCATTTTTTATATCGAGAGATACTAAACAGAGTAGACCTCTTCTGCTCGCAGGTTTCCTCGTGTGATAATCCAATATCCTCTTGACAGATTCCATGGCCGTAATGGTTGATTTACCTTTGCGGAAACCATGTTGTCTGTTATCAAAGTTAAAAATACTAGAGAGTCTATAAGCGAGAATGTGTTCAAAAATCTTTGAAAGGGTGTTGATTAGGCAAATGGGCCTATATTTCTTTTGAGGATCACCTGGCTTTATTTTTGGAAACAATATCAGTTTTGCCTCTTTCCAATTGTCAGGAAAATAGCCTTTTTTTAGAAGATTATTGCACATTTCAGTGAAAATTTTTATATTAGTGTCGATAAAGAGTTTGGTTATCACAGGAAGAATACCGTCGGGACCAGGGGCTTTACCATTTTTCAACTTTTTAATTGCCTGGCGAACTTCATCTATAGAAATTTCGGGAATTTCAGAGTTATTGACTAAGGTATCTCTCCAGACGACATCACCATGATCTGGAAAAAGTTTAGAGATCTGGTCTAGCAGTTCCTCCTCAGAGAGGGTTGAATTATCATGGGATCTGGGATTTTTGAGGCGACGTCTGAAAATTTTATATCCTTTGCCCCATATATCAGTATCTAGTTCATTAATTAGATCTTTATATTTTTTCTTTTTGGACTCGGCAATTTTGAAGGTAAGTTCTTTCTTTAGATTATCTAATTCGGCTAATTTATCAAGTAACGGTAATTTTTTCCTTCTGAGTTCCATTAATTTTCTTCTTAGTTTCTGACAATTTTTTCTTATATTTCCAATTTCTTTGGTCCACCAATATAGTGGAGTAAGAGGGGTTACAGTTGATTTTTTAACAAAATGAGCATCTGAGGCTTCTGAGATTATTTTATCGCATAGAGATGGAGAAAGCTTCGATTCTGCTGTATATTTAGTAGTTAGTTTTTTAACAGTTTTAATAAAGTCTGGGAATTTTTCTTTGTTTATAAACCAACCAGAATTATCTATAGAAACTTTGTTATTATTATTAGTACTAGAGTCTTGTCGAATGTTAATAACAATACTTCTGTGATCAGAAAGGGTGTAGGAATCTAAAACTTCTATATTAATGTTATCAGTTAAGTCTGGACTAGAGATTACCAGATCTGGAATGGAGTGAAAGCCTCTGGAATTAATGAAGGTGGGCGTAAATGTATCATGATTATTGTGGATGACAAGTTCGTTTTCAAAGATCCAGTTTTCTATTATACGTCCTCTAGAGTTATAGATTAAGTCGCCCCAAGCGGGGGATCTACCATTGAAATCGCCTAATATGACAAAAGGGCCTTTGATTCTTTTTATGCGAGTTTCCAGGATAAATAAAGCTTTCTGCATCTCTATGTTACAATCATTGGGGGAGAGATATATACCAATTATAGTTATGGATGACCAGGTAAACAGAATGTAATAGGGTCCGGCTTCCCAGTTTGAGGTGGAGCCAATAAGAAACGGTGTTGTATAGGCAGATACCCAGAGGTCTAAGCTAGAGTATAAGGAATCTAAGCTGGCTTTTGCTACGTTAGGTTCTGTGAAGAGATAGCATCCAATTTGTCGTTGTTGAACAATTTGTTTGTTAAGATCATGAGAGTGGGGATTCGTATTTACATTACCTAGTAAAATGGACAGTTCAGCTTTGGTTGAAGTGCCAGTTTTAGCCAAATTAGCATCTATAGTACCTGACAGTATTGATAAGTCAGCTTGATTAGTATTATTATTATTTCGAATAATGTTTAGAGTATTCGTGGGCATATTTTTACTAATAATTACTTCATTCTCATCTACTTTTTTGAAGACGATTTTATCTCTATCAGTAATGAAAGTATCAGATTCCTCGCTTGAATCATAACAAAAGGGAACATTCTCTTGTCTTAATTCGCATGCCGATGAGTTTGATTGTGAGTTATCGGCCTCATCAGAACTAAAAGCCGTAGACCATATAGGAGGGAGTGAAATTGGTCTAATAATTCTGCCACATGAAAGTTTTAGAGGGGGGAGCAGCATATCTTTACATTTAGTACAATTTTTGACTTTAATATTATGTCTGCACCAAATACAATTAATATCGGAATAAGATCTGGGATCGAAGCAAATAATACATTTGGAGATAGGGCGTGTGTGTTGACATATTAGTTCGTCAACCTTGATAAAATTAATTGAGTCGGATTCAGAATCAAGTTCGAGCATCGCAAAACGATTAGTGCGTGTGTTCATGATTGGGTTTGTTGAGTAAGGTCATGAATGTTTACATTATTACTTTGCTGTGAGTTATTACTTAATGGCGATAAATTACGAAACTGTTCACAAATAAAATTGTCTGAATTATCATATCGTTTGCATTTTTGTTCCAGGGCCTTAATATAAATTGGACATTTGGGACTAGTTGGAAGGTGATCTAAATTATCTTTCATTTTGTGTCTTACACAGTTGACACATTTTGCGGTTTCTTCTTCGCATTCTGCGATTTTATGATTGTTTTTTCCACATTTGAGACATAATATTTCATTTTTGATACATTGTTTAGTTCCATGATAAAAATCTAAGCAGTTCATGCAGGGAGAAACTAAAATTTTGGGTTCGGCTTTGGCGAAACCAAAAGTACTTAAATAAAATTCTCTTTGGATTAGAACATCTTCGAGTATCGGTGATTCTATTCTGATATAAACAAGATTTTTTGGCGTTCCGTAGGTATTTCTCAAGGGGATTGTTCTAAATATATGTGTTTTCCCTTGAATGTTTTCAAGGGTGTACTTATTTTTAAGTTCGGAGTGAATTTCTTTGAGAATTTGGGACTCTGACATATTTGCAGGGATTGGACCAAAGCTAACAACCTCAGAAGGGTAAGTAGTTTTAATGCTAACAGATTTGGCTTTTAGGCAATTTTTTAATGCAGACTCTAATTTCGCTCTATCATCAGTTTTAGCTCTTATAATAAAATCTTTATTTCTGTTCAGATTTATCGAATAAATTTTGCCTAAGTTGGAGGGAATTTCTTTATGGATTAAATCAAAAAGGTGTTGTTCATCAATTGTTTTCCCCGAGACGTTAGATTCTAGTAAAATAGTGACTTCTGTCGAAGCTCTATTTACAACTCCATAGGTAATATTCTGTTTATTTTTTTTGAGCTGTTCACTGTAGCTTAATTTCTGATTTAATGCTGGAAAGTCATTTTTCTTTTTATCAATTTTGCTAACAGTTTGTTGTACATTGGTTAATTTATTGTTAAATTCGGACATTTGTTTTTCAAATTTTGATTTTAATGAGTCTAGTTCTGCTTGGGTTTTTTCGTATTTATTTTTCCAAAACTCGATTTGGTCTCGGAAATGATTCTCGTTAGTTGTCACTGAGTCTCTTAAAGCAAACAACATTTCTTTTAAAATCGACCAGGAAAATTCTTTGGGAGTATCAATGTGACCGAAAAGGGATTCAAGGGTAACTTTAGAAGGTTTATGGGTGTTTTCTTCGCAGGGTTTCTGATTTTGAGTGTTAGGATCGTTATTACTAATTAAGGGTTCAGAGTTTAAGGGATCCTCTTTCTTCTTTGTTTGTCTCGTGTTCTTGGATCCTGGGGCTGAGGCACTACGGTTTCTTGAAGTAGAAGGAGTCCTCTTGTTTCTTCCTCTTCCTCTTGCGTTCTTGGGTGGGTTCTTTTTAATGTCAGCAATTGAACTTTTCGGTATGAGAAAGCTATCGTCGGAGTCGGAGTCTGATACTTTTCCAGAATTGATGTCAGCATCTTTTTGTTCACCGGTTGAAGATTTATCAGGGATGACGTTGTTATCGAGGGCTTGTTTCTTTTTGCCCGATTTATCGATGTCACTGATGGAGGAGTTCGGATCTTCATTTCTGCCTCTTTTTAAAGATGCTTCAAGATAGTCCATTTTTTCTTCTTTTTCATCGGTGTCAGTTGGCGGGTTACTCTGAGAGATAGTTGCGGATGATTCAGGGGTGGGAGTAGAAGTCCTTAGAGGAGATTCATTTCTCTTGGTTTTGATTTTAGACAAAGTCGTGGGAGCACTGAGTGAGAAATGTTTTTCTTTGATACAGTCAGTTTTGTGACAATCTGTTACTCCGTGCACAGAGCATTTGCATAGTTCACAGTGAACCCGATCGTGCTGTATGCAAGGTTTCATACTACAGGGAGGGAGGACGGCTAGTGGGCCGCGCGCCGCGCCGCCGTAACACGCAAGCCGATAAAGAGTAGAGTCTAATCACTGTAACGATCTAAAGCGTAGATTGTTGTCTGGCCGTAGTTGCCAATGTTTGTTCAATTTGCGCATGCGCGAAAAAAGAAAAATTGATGTGAGAGCAGCTATAATTGGCAACTTTTTGTTACACAATCACTTTAGGCCACACTCACATCACTAAGAACGAAGTTAAAAACTTAATCCCTGGGGATTTTAAGAGTTCAGACGAAGCACCGAAAGATGCAGCATGTGCTGCCGGTTTAAACGGTACCAAAACTGAGGCACAAAACAAAGTAAAAACAGGTTTTTGGGTTGGTTTTAGGGAGAGCTGAGCGAAACACGTCAGGACGAATCAAGAGCGCAGTTGCCAACCTTTAAGGAATTTGCTTCGTACCATGGAAAATTTTCACTGAAATTCACACAAAAATCCGCACAACCGTTTACATGTAAAAAATTAAATGGTCCAATTAAATTTGGAAATAGCTGATGTGGCTTGGTTCCTTTATTCTGTTTAACGTGGTCCAATTATCTCCTCACCAAAAAAGCAAAATCTATCAGATTGGCCACAGAACGGATTCCCAGTTTGCGACATCAGTGGCGAGGCGTGCTTTGCGATACATCGATTGATCTGTCGTTAAAACCTGAAAGGAAAGGATCGATAAGCAGGGTGTTTGCAACAAACACCTTCATAATCGATTCTTTACCATAGCTTCAAACGGGGGAATATTGATAATCGATCGTTCACGCCTCGCCATTGTGCAACTTATATACCTCCTCAGGAAATTGTTGAAAAATCCAGTCGTCTCAGGGGCAATTTTAAGCTGTATTGAGGTTTTGACCATAGGTAAATCTAGACTTTTGTAACGCTGGGGTCGGAAAGGGGGTCCAGGAGCATCTGCTCCCTGAAAATTTTCGAAATTTTAAAGCATCTAATATGCAGTTTAAGTCAATTTTACCATAAATAATTACCAACTAATGTAAGCATCCTTCCTTTTTCCTAATTTCTCGAAAAAATTAATGGACATAAAAAATTGGACCAGAAGTCCTGTAACCCCTAGTTCCGGCCACGACCCAAGTAGCAATTACATAGTAAAAATATTGCAATTCCACAGAGTGTCGTGTATGTTGCCTAGCTCCTATTTGAAGGGGCCCCATTTATTGAAAAATATTGCAATGAAATTGGAGTAAGTTGCAATTATTCATTGCATTGCATATTGCCTATCTTGCTGACACATGAAGCTCATTTTGTTGATTCTTTAAAATCGGCATAAATCGAGTAAATTATATAAAAATGTAGCAACTCAATAGTAAAAAAATTACAATGAACCACTAGACAAGGTACGAATTAAAGCAATTTGATACATGTTTCATAACCAGAATTTTACGTAAAACACGATTCTTAAAACGAAAATTACTGAAACCAACTTTTAACGAGAATATTAACGTTTTTATTGTTTACGAGGAATTTGAGCTGCCCGCTCACAAGAAACTCAATGCTCTATATTGCACTACAACGGTTTTAGCAAGCTTTTCAATCGAGCAATGTTCATTTCTCACCATATGTTGTTCAAACTATAAGCAATTTGCTATAGCTGAGCCAAAGCGTCAAGATCGAGGTTGCCAGATTTGTATATCGCAGAGACTGTCATGATAACGTTCAGCGCGCGATGTAAATCACGTAGAGTACTGAGTTTTCATGAGCGTATGGTATGAATTCACGCACTAAGAAATCATTAAATATATTCGTAAGGTATTGATTTCGGAAATTTTCGTTGTGCGCATCGTGTTCTACGTAAAATTCTGGTTGAGGAACAAGAATCAAAATGCTGAAATTCGTACCTTGTCTAGTGGTCCATTACAATTTTCTTGAAATCAGATTGAAATTTAATTCCAATATTTTCGTTGCACTGTGCTACTTGGGGTGCTTCTCTTGAGGGATTCCTTGTGGAGGGTTTTTGGACTTACACAATAGAGGGCAGCACGAGTGGGAATCAAAGCATGACTGGGCCTCCCCGAGGGTTGTTTCACATGGAGGTGGTGTTCCACTCGTCGTCGGAGCGGACTTTGTCGCCGTTGGGTCGGTCGGCGGCCGCGGCGGCCGCGGCGGCGATCTGGTCCATCCTCTCGAGTTCGTCCTTGCTCAAGTGCTCCACGATTCCCGCGCCCAAAGCGTCACCCAACACGTTGGCCACCGTCCGGAATCGATCCCTGAAAACGACAAAACCCAAGTCAAATTAAAATCATTCAAAATCCACAATTCGGCCAAAGTTCCCCTGGTCGGCCTTGCACGGAAACAATTAAATTGCTCATTTAACAATTAAATTGCTGCTATAACAATTAGATTCCTGAAACAAGTGACTGCTGCAGCAATGTTTCAACGCATATTTCACGACAAAAAATGCTACACTGGAAAAAGAAAAAAAAAAAAAAAACACATTGGATCTAGAGTCCCGACTCTTGAAAACATTGACAAGAAAAAATACTCTTGGTTCGATCAGATTTAAGCTTAAATCAAAATGAAATCCGCTCAAATTAAGAGGCTTGGTTCTTGATTTAAGCAAACATCCGATTGAATCAAGACTATTTTTCCTTGTCTATGTTTTTCAGACTCTGGACTCTAGATCCAAGCTTCTTTATTTTCCATTGATATTTTTGGGACCGGGAAGGTTTGCTCAAGAGAAATGCACTCAGACGCTTACTCATGCCTTTACGAATCCATGTCGCTCATCTGAGCAAGGAAATTTCTACGTCGCTGAAGAGTATTCACGGCGACTCTCTCAGAAATCTGAGTGACTCAAGGAAATGTTCTATATTGATAGTGAATCAGAGTGAATTTCCTTGCAGTGCTCGGCGTATACTACAAAATACGGTGCACACTCCGGCAGGCGCAGTGTAGGCAATTAGCACGTCAGAACGTATATGTAAAATGGTGTAGTGTTTGAAGTATCTCCGGGATGTGGAGGGCGCTATATCGGGTGCCCGCAAGCACGCCTTACCATGCTCGCGATAGTTTGAATTCGCGGAGTCAGGGAATTAAAGCACTACTGCCGCGCTAAGGAAGAACGCCATATGAACGTTCGAGAGTTGCCTAATTGCCCTGGATAAAACATGTATTTTTGAGAATGCGAATGCGTATTTTTCCTAGACATTTTCAGACATTTTAGACGAAGTTGCGAATAAAATTGTCTGCGAAAAGTTAAGAAAACAGGATCATAAACAGGAAATAAAATGATGAAATAGAATGGTAAATTTTTTAAAATATGCTCAATTTTTCTACGATTTCTCTTTTTTGTTTCTCTCAGTTCTTACTATGAAAACGGATACACCCGGCATTAGCAGACAATTTACAGCGACTATCAGTGGCGTGGGTGCTTTGCGGTTTATCGATTAATCTGCCATTTAAACCTATGGAAAAGGATCGATGAATAGGGTGTTCGCAACAAACAGCTCAATAATCGATTCTTTACCATGGTTTCAAATGGGGAAATATCGATAATCGATCATTCACGCCTCGCCACTGGTGACTACTACGTCTGAGTTTGAAAAGTTATGTGAACATCACCGCAAGGATGGCATTCAGGAAGAAAATGGTTCAGAGGAAATAAATTCGTTAAACCAGTTAAAAACTAAAAATCCTTCAGGAATATCGAAAACTTACAGAAGCCAATCGACAGCGATGATGAGCGTGATGTCCTCCGCTGGTAAGCCCACCGTGTCTAATACCATGACCATTGTGACAAGACCAGCTTGAGGGATACCTGCCGCACCAATACTGGCGAAAGTTGCCGTCACACTAAAACAAAAAAAAAAGAAACAAACTTAGTCTTGAAGAATAACGTGAGGAGAAACGTATAGAAAAAGAAATTACTGGCATAATATTATTATTTCTACGCAGCCAATTTAACGCACCCGAGCGCTTTGAGGCACCTGGAAAGCGTTTATAAATTATGTAACGCATTTTGTAGTTATAGGACATTTCGTCAAAGATTTTTTGTCTGCGCACCCGTTTTTTCCAGCAATTTACGTCCACGCGTTTATTTCGGCACGGGAGTTTTGGTCCACGTGCCAGTTGAGACCCTAAGTTAATTGGCCCACATGTAAATACAAACGACCATTGCTCACGACGTTTTTGGATGAAATTGAATAATTTCTTGGAGGAATGAGGGTTTGCTTGTTTTTTTTGTTTTGTCTGTTTGGTCCAACGGAGAATGACATATAGTAGAGAGTTTTGGTAAAAATGGGGGAGCATCAATTCCATGAGACAAAATTCACTAAAACTCTCTACACCTCTTTGGTGTAACAGGACTTAATTATCTTTCAAGAAATTCCCGCCTTGTTATACCGGAACCGGATAAACCTCTACATTTGCCTCAGCTCTTAGATTTGTCCTGTGCACGATAAGTATCTTGATTTATTTTGCGAGGAAAGATTTGTACTTTTAAAGGATGCCTGTCATTCTTAATACTTTCAATTTCGTATAATACTGTGCAACACCTCTGTTGTGAAATAGTTGCTTCAGGCGCCGCGCCGCCGCACTGCGGGCGGGCAGCCAGCGCGGAACGCTCACTGGCGCCTACAAACCTAAGTGGATACTTCAAGCATTGTGCAATGCGTGAAGTATCCACTTAGGTTTGTAGGCGCCAGTGAGCCTCTCGCGCTGGCAGTACGCCGCTCCGCTCTGTTAGGCTTTAATAGGTATTCATACTCGCATAGCCAGCGTTTTTTAACTCATGATTTTGAAATGTCTGCACACTCTGCACTGATTATTCTCATTTAAATTGATGGGAAAAAAATATGTATCAATTTATCAAAGGAGAATAATATAATGCGACGGTGTAAGTCGGCAATCACATAACTCGTTTGCGGTGTCTGAAAATCTTCGCCTCTATGTTATTTTTTTAAAGGAGAACAAATTGACATTATATCTTGAAGTTTTTGCAGAATTTTATTGGCATGGAGAAGGAAAATCGTGACAGTTTTAAAGAATTGCTGTTGAGTGGTTTCCCGTTTAAAAGATAAAGATAAAGCCATCATTTACTTTTTTTCAAATACCATCTTTCATAGCCATGTTAAATATATAATAGCTACGTTAAATACCAAGTTTATAATAGCCAAGCTAAATACCAAGTACAGTGGACTCTCGATAATTCGAAATTGAAGGGAATCGGCTTTTTCTTCGAATTATCGAGGTTTCGAAATAAAGAGAGTTCGAATTAAAGAGATTCCATGTGAAGAAATTTCGAATTAGAGAGGTTCGAATTATAGAGGGAAGGTGCCATCTGAATTTGAATTATAGAGGGAAGGTGCCATCTGAATTTGAATTATAGAGGGGCAAATGGACGGATTTACGCCAAAAGGTCTTTAGGTCAACGGTCAAGCTCTTTGAGACACCCAGACACATAAACAGTAGACTTGGAATTGTAGAGGGAATATACCGTCTTAATTCGAATTACAGAAGGAGGGCCATATTTACTTCCCACACTTCGAATTACAGAGAGAATTTTCGTCGCAATTTCGAATTATAGAGGGCCACGAAAGCTTAAAAATTTCGAAATAACGAGGGGAGAAAAATACATTGATTTTCTTCGAATTATCGAGAGATTTTCAAGGGAAACAGACTTTCCTTCGAATTAACGAGGTTTTCGAATTATCGAGGTTCGAACTATCGAGAGTCCACTGTATATAATAGTCAAGTTAAATACCTGACGGCGAGGACGTCACCGAAACTGAGAGGGACCTGACGGACTTGGGCGATGAAGATGGCGGCGACGGCTTCGTAGAGGGCGGTGCCGTCCATGTTGATTGTGGCTCCGATCGGCATGACGAAGCGCGAAACTCGTGGGTCCACCCCGTTGTCCTCCTCCAGGCATCGCATCGACACCGGCAAAGACGCATTACTGATGTCAACAATCAAGGAAAAACAACATATAATCAATTATTAGAGATCGGGATGGGAAAAATGTCATGAAAAAATCTTGGATGAAATGGACGTATTTCTATCAAACAGAACTATGTGGAGGTGAGAAATATGGGTGTACTCTAGAAAACTGCATAAGAAACAATGTAAAAGTGTGCGTGATTCCTTTTGAAGAATTGGAAAAGCGGGATATTACATTCTATCAAACAGACCCATGTGCCAACTGAATGCGGAACTCATGAGCCGCGAGGATGGCATCAGAGCGTTGTGGACAGGGCTCATGAGTTGAAGCGCACTACGAGGAGCACGAGCAGCAGCATCGACGGCATCCATTTCCGTTGACGTCACTGGCGCTTTATTATTCTCATTCACTCTTACGGCCAGAGAACTGACGAGCACACCCCATATTTCTCACCTCCACATAGTTCTGTTGGGTAGAAATACGTCCAAATAAAACTTAAGGCGTACAGAATGTACTGTAGTACTCGATCCCTTGATCCGTGGATGACGGGTAGACACAACTGTACTGCCAAGCTAAGGAAAACTGCCGTATGAATATTCGACAGTTGCCAAATTTCCTCCAAATTAATCATGTATTTTATTTTAAGAAAGGTTATAAATATTTATCTTTGAAATTTTCAGGTTTTTTAGATCAAATTGAAAAGAAAGTCGTCTGAAAAATTTGAAGGGAGATACTCAAAAAATTTCAGTAAAGTCGGTTTTTATCGGGGGAAATCTGGCAACGCCTGAAGGCTCATACGTCATTTTTTTCTTAGCACGGCAGTGTGCATCTCAAAGCACGATGTACACCATAAAGCACTGTCAAACATAATTTCGGCTTTGAGTTAATTTTGAAATGTTCTATCGCTGAGCAAGAACGCCGTATGAGCCTCCAGACGTTGCCAAACTTCATTGGATAAAATATATATTTTTTTGAAAATCTGTTAACATTTTTTTGCCGCTATTAGAAAATTCTATTCGCAACCACATCCATCCATATCATCTGAAAATCTCAAGAGAAAACATGATTATGACTCTCCTAAAAATAAAAAAATTATTGGAGGCAATTTGGCAACTCTCGAATGGTTATACAGCGTTTTTCCTTGGCACGGCAGTACATTGAAACTGAATCAGAGTTGACAACACTGGAAAAAAAGTCGCTTGAATCTAGCGTCCAGACTCTTAAAAACATGGACAAGAAAAAATACTCTTTATTCAATCGAATTTTTTCTTGAATCGAGGAGCCAAGCCTCTTGATTTAAGCGGATTTCCTTTTGATTCGAGCAAAACTCCGATTGAATCAAGAGTATTTTTTCTTGTCAATGTTTTCAAGAGTCTAGACTCTAGATCCAAGCTTCTTTATTTTCCAGTAATATTTTTGGGACCGGGAAGGTTTGCTTAGGAGAAATGCACTCAGACGCTTACTCATGCCTTTACGAATCCATGTCGCTCATCCGTGAGCAAGGAAATTTCTATGTCGCTGAAGAGTACTCAGGGCGACTCTCTCAGAAATCTGAGTGACTCAAGGAAATGTTCTATATTGATAGTGAATCAGGGTGAATTTCCTTACAGTGCTCGGCGTACACTACACAATACGGTGCACACTCCGGGAGGCGCAGTGTAGGCAATTAGCACGTCAGAACGTATGTGTAAAATGGTGTAGTGTTAGAAGTATCTCCGGGATGTGGAAGGCGCTATATCGGGTGCCCGCAAGCACGCCTTACATGCTCGCGATAGTTTGAATACGCGGAGTCCGGGAATTAAAGCACTACTGCCGTGCGAAGGAAGAACGCTATATGTACATTCGAGAATTGCCAAATTGCCCTGAATAAAACATGTATTTTTGAGAACGCGAATGCGTATTTTTCCTTGAAATTTTCAGACACTTTAGACGAAGTTGCGAACAAAATTGTCTGAAAAAAGTTAAGAAAACATGCACGATTTTCCCAATAAATTAAGGTTCCATTGAGGGAAATGTGGCGACGTCTGAATTTTCATACGGTGTTTTCCCTTAGCAAGGTAGATTAGCAGTCGATCTTTTTTACTAAAAACTTTACAAGTGCTTTGATTTGTAAATGTTCATAAAAAATGTATATATTGTGGCTCGCACACTGATTTTTGTACTAACTTCCTCTCTTGCATTAGCTTGGGGGATGGGGTGTAGACTTTGAGGAACCCAGTATGAGCGAGCTCATTTTGAAATTATCCGTGGGATATGACACAGCCCTCCCCCCTGTAACGAGGCAAATCCCGTTTCTACAGAGGCACATACGTCCTCTGGTATAAGATAAGCCAACGTTACTGTAGTTGCCGGAATGAGCTCGCCGGGATCCTGGATTCGGGCGCCAATTTAAACATGAGTTTGAAAGGGGAGGAATGATCCAAATCTTATGTCTCAAATTTCTTGGTTTATTTACAAAAACAAATGTCCTTTCGTTAGCTAAGTTTGTGAGGATCCTACACTCAAAATATTATGATAGTAATAATTTACGATATAATGAAAGAAAAGGGAGGCCGAAATGCCACTCACTAACGTGCACCTCAAGGCTTGAAATCATGGGTGGCGGTAGCCACCTCCGGACAAAGTCTAAACTCGACAACACTGGAAAGCCTCCAAACGAAAAAGGTGGCAGCCAACCATAGACACACGTAACTCCCTTATTCTGAAAATTGATTCGACTCGAACTCGACTGCAGCCCAAACGACGGCACGGATTCCATTGATCTTGGTGTCTACTGACGCACCTAAATTGGGCCTACTAAGTGGGAAAGTTTCATCCAGATCCATTGAGTTTTCAAAAAGTTATAAGCACTTAAAGGCCCAAAATGACAAATATTTTTTGTAACTTGGGCCGTTCAGTAGCGGGAAACCGACATGATTACAGGATACATGTAAGAGGAGAGGAGGAGTGAAGCTGGGCGAGATGCTTTTCACTAACGTGCACCTCAGCACAGAAGAAGAGAAAAGAGGAATGTGAATGGACAGAGGGCTCGACGAGATGCCACTCACTAACGTGCACCTCAAGTCGAGAAAGATTTAGGAAAGATGAGAGAAGAGGTGACCCTCCGGAAAGGAGGGGGTGATGAACAATGTTTGGCTTAGAGGGCTATCAGATTGATTTGAAGCTATTGAAAGACGATCTCGACATTCGTTGCAAAATTTTTGTTACAAGAAAAATTAATTAAAATATAAAATTTACAGAAATGGATGTAGGAAAATTTCCTAGAGAAGTTTATAGTAGTTTAGAATTTTTTACAATTTTTCGTTTTGGGTAAATCTACGGAAAACCCTGATTTCGCAGTTATCTTCGAGAGAGAGAAAAAAGGAGAAGCAGTATTCCATTTCTTTTCATTATGCAAACAGCTGATGTACCGTCACCGGGCGTCGCGGCGCGGTGTCGCCTAACCGTGACACATTTGTCACTATTTTTGGTTTACAAAAGAAGGGGAAAAACTTAAAACGGAGAATGAAATTCTTCGTTACACCCCCCCCCTCCCCAAAAAAAAATACTGATTTTTATGCCAGTAACTGCAGCTGCGCTAATGTTTTGTTGATATTACCAAGACTGTGCTTAAATTTTGGTAATATTACTTCGACCAAGCTGATTTTTTGGGGGTCAAAATTACCTCGACCACAGACTCAGCTGAACTACTCAATCTAAGGGCCAAACCTAAGCGCGCAATTTTCTGCAGAGCTCTACATTTTTGAGACTATCATTCCAAAACGTCAATGAAAGTGTGTTAAATATTTATTTTTTGTCACTTTTGGCACTTTTTATTTTCCAAATCAAGTTTTGCCTCGGCATCAGTATTTTCACAATTGGACTACAATTTGCAATTAGGAATTAAAATTTCTTTCTCTGTTCAGAAACAACGTATGTACCTTCAGTTTTTCTATGCACATAAGTGTTTTTACGGATGAGCCAGACATTGTAGTTTCTGATTGCAAAATTCAGTCCTTGGTATCAGTCCACTGGTTCAATCCAATTGGTATCACAAAACTGCTTAAAATCATGTTTCTTTGCAGGTGGATTTGAAACATTCTTCCTGTAACCTTACTTACCTGACACTCTCCTTTTTTCGGAGGGGGATACCCGAAAGCGCAACTTTTGGGGCGCCGCATAGTAAAGCAAGCTAACAGAAGAGGACGAACATGAAATTGTTGGCTATAATTTCGAATTTTGGAGTTTTTGGCGTCACGAATTCAATTTCAAGGAGTGTTCCTGGAGAAAATTCCACTGGAAAACCAATGAAATCACTATTATGTGCTGGTTACACGCTCAAATTCCCATCAATATCCGATCAAATGGTGACTGGTGTGCACCACCTACCATCAAATTTCTGCGGCCTGCAAAAATTTGATGGTAGATGATGGAGCTGTGGGGCTCATCCATCATCTGGTTTCCACACAACCGTGCTTATTTCATGCTTATTTCAATCAGCACGCTGTTTTAATTAAATTTACTCATCAATCTAGATAACTCTCGACCACCGTCTTGGTCATCATTTTGATCGGAATTTGACGGAAATTTGAGCGTGTAACCAGGCCAATAATTTTTTCTCTCATATTTTTGAAAATATAAGCTTTCAAAGCTTCCAGATTGTGTCGGACTTTTCCTATTGACTCGGTCTAGTTTGTGCCGACAGTAACTCAGCCTAGGGCACTGGGAATGTAAATTGGGCTTGTGAGAACGGAGATGGAGGCGTACCTGGAGGCGGTTCCGAAGGCGGTGGCGATGGCCTGGCTCATGTTGGAGACGAAGCGGATGGGGGACTTCTTGGTGAAGAACATGTACATGGCCGGGAGGAGGATGAAGCCGTGGCAGAAGAGGCCCATGAGGACGGTGAGGAAGTAGAAGCCCAGCTTCCCGACGATCACGGCCAAGCTCTGCATCTCGATCATCTTGGACGAGACCAAGAACAAGATACCGAACGGCGATAACCTGCAGTCAATCACCACACCAGCAAAATTAGAATGGACGACGCGCACAACGAATATTATACCGAAATCAACTCCTTCCGAAGATATTTAATGATTCTTGATGCGTGAATTCAAACCACCCGCTCATGAAAACTCAATGCTCTCCGTGATTCACATCGCGCGCTAAACGTTTATCGTGCAGTCTCTGCGATATAAAAATCTGGCAACCTCAATCTTGACGCTTTGGCTCAGCTGTGGCAGATGGCTTATGTCGTTTGAACAACACATGGTGGGAAATGAACATTACGCGATTGAGAGGCTTATTGCTGAAACTGTTGTAGTGCGCGATTTGACTCACGTAGAGCTTTGAGCTTCTTGTGAGCGGGCAGTTCAAATTTCTCGTAACCAATGTGAAATAAAAACGTTAATATATTCGTTTGGAGTTGATTTCAATAGTTTCCGTTGCGCGAATCCTATGCACAACGTGCATCGTTCTCTATGTGCAATGGACCACTAGACAAGGTATGAATTTAAGCAATCTGATACATGTCTCTTAACCAAAATTTCACGTAGAACACGATCCATACAACAAAAATTACTGAAACCAACTCCAAACGAAGATATTAACGTTTTTATTTAACATTGGTAATGAGGAATTTGAACTGCCCGCTCACAAGAAACTCAAAGCTCTACGTGAGTCAAATCGCGCACTACAACCGTTTCAGCAAGATTCTCAATGGAGCAATGTTTATTTCCCACCATGTGTTGTTCAAACTATAAGCAATTTGCTATAGCTGAGCCAAAGCGTCAAGATTGAGGTTGCCAGATTTTTATATCACAGAGACTGTCATGATAAACTTTTAACGCGCGATGTGAATCACGTAGAACATTGAGTTTTCATGAGCGGGTGGTTTGAATTCACGCATCAGGAATCATTAAATATCTTCGTTATATATCATCCGAGTTAATATCGGCAATTTTGATCAAGCGCATCGTGTTCTACGTGCAATTTTAGTTCCGAAACATGTATCAGAAAGCTAAAATTCGTACCGTGTCTAGTGGTCCATTCGTCTCGTGAAAGAGCTTGATGCAAAAACGGCTTTTTTCGCCCCCCTCTGGAAGTTCTTCAGACTTTGTCTATTGATTACTCATACTTGAGCGCTTCTTTTCCCAAATTTTCAGACCCCCAAAAATTTTTGGGGGGAGCTAGGGGGGGGGTGGAAGTCAAAACCTGTGAACCTCGATATCTCTTGAACAAAGAAAGATATCGAGGTCCGGTTTGGACGAAAAATCGTCTAAAATTGCATACTATAAGAATCTAAAGGTCGAAATCCCGATATTACATTTTTAAGTCAACATATGTGCTTTTTTCCTGTTTTTAGGTCTAGAAAATTTCTTTTAAACAAAAAATTTACAAAGATTTCAATTTTTTATTTGAACCAAAACCAGTTTTTTAAATTGTTCGTCTTTTTCCGCATCTAACGAGTGGTCCATTAAGCTGGAGAACCCAACGGTTCCGGAGTTATGATCGATTGAAGTTTCCGCTCAACGCGCGCCGACCGATTTTCGCGCGCAAAAAAGTCGGATTTGACTGTTATTAGATCAGATGGAATGTTCAAACTGAGCAAAATGCTTTATTAGGGACTCTTGAGGGTCGCTGAGTTCAGAAATTACAGATACTTCCAAATAATTTACGTTTTTAAAATTACAGCTCCGCAGCGCTATTTTAGAGGCCCACTGAGCGCCGACCGGCCGCTCAGTGGTCCTGTCCGAAGCTGAAATTTTAAAAACGTGAATTTTTTGGAAGTATCGGTAATTTCTGAACTCAGCGACCCTCAAGAGTCCCTAATAAAGCATTTTGCTCAGTTTGAACATTCCATCTGATCTAATAACAGTCAAATCCGACTTTTTTGCGCGCGAAAATCGGTCGGCGCGCGTTGAGCGGAAACTTCAATCGATCATAACTCCGGAACCGTTGGGTTCTCCAGCTTAATGGACCACTCGTTAGATGCGGAAAAAGACGAACAATTTAAAAAACTGGTTTTGGTTCAAATAAAAAATTGAAATCTTTGTAAATTTTTTGTTTAAAAGAAATTTTCTAGACCTAAAAACTGGAAAAAAGCACATATGTTGACTTAAAAATGTAATATCGGGATTTCGACCTTTAGATTCTTTTAGTATGCAATTTTAGACGATTTTTCGTCCAAACCGGACCTCGATATCTTTCTTTGTTCAAGAGATATCGAGGTTCACAGGTTTTGACTTCCACCCCCCCTAGCTCCCCCCAAAAATTTTTGGGGGTCTGAAAATTTGGGAAAAGAAGCGCTCAAGTATGAGTAATCAATAGACAAAGTCTGAAGAACTTCCAGAGGGGGGCGAAAAAAGCCGTTTTTGCATCAAGCCCTTGACTCATTTCCTGTCTCTGAAAATGGACCACTAGTCAAGGTACGAGCTTAAGGAGCGGGGATTTTAAACGCCGTAAAGGAGATACGTGGTGTTGCACTTTGGCCATCGACTTGGCAATCGTTATTCCATCTCCTCAGAACTGCTATTTTGCGAATGCCCTATTGCACTTTTATTACTAAGCCTCATCCTTAGAAGCGTTAATAAAATATCTGATTTCTGACAATGAGTCACAGTTTATCATCGCAACCTGGCAAATTCTTAGAGGCTATGCCACCGAAGATTTAGCATCAGGTAGCATGGCAAAGAGATATGAGACACTTTATTTATGTTGTCCAACAAAGTAGTATCGAACAAAGTCCAACAAAGTGCACACTCCGGCAGGCGCAGTATAGGCAATTAGCACGTCAGAACGTATAGGTAAAATGGTGTAGTGTTTGAAGTATCTCCGGGATATGGAAGGCTCTATATCGGGTGCCCGCAAGCACGCCTTACCTGCTCGCGATAGTTTGAATTCGCGGAGTCAGGGAATTAAAGCACTACTGCCGTGCTAAGGAAGAACGTCGTATGAACATTTGAGAGATGCCAAATCGCATCTAATAAAATGTTTATTTTTGAAGATTGTTATAAATATTTTCTTCTAAAATTTTCAGTTAATTTAGAGCTGATTGCACATAAAATTCTCTGAAAATCTGGAGGTGAAATATTCACAGATTTCTTTGAAAATCCGTATTTTATCAAAGGATTTTTAGCAACACTGTTAAAAATCGATGATTTACGCTGAGTGAATAGCCGGCGTGAAAAAAAATTAGCGCGAATTTCGCGCCAAACTCTAAGTGATTTCACTCCCGCCAGAGCGCGAAATTCGCGCCGGGATTTTTAACAGTGAACGTCTCAGGGCTTTCACGGCGATTTTCCTTAGCACGGCAGAGTAATTTCCTATTTCTCACCAAATAATCCAGTTGGTTATGATCATTGCGGCGTCGGACATGCTCGAGAAAACGTTGAGGAGAGGCCTCCTGGCATGTTCCTCCATGCGGGCCAGCGTGATACCCAAAACCACCGCAAACATGACCAACCCGAGCACGTTTGAGCCCTCGGTCCACTCATCTTTGATCTCCCACTTGTAAAGATCGGTCTCTGAAAACACACAAACATGTCAAATGTAAACTTCTAGCGGGTGATTACATTGAAAAAAATTCTATGCTGTTTTAGCATCCAGGATGTCAAAGATGTGTCTGGTGATCCCAAGATGCTGCTTTGACTACCCCCGAAGTTAACTTTACATCCTGTGGATGCAAATTCAATACCGTGGGCAATCAAGGCAGCATCTTAGGATCACCAGACACATTTTTGACATCCTAGGTCCAGAAACAGCACACCGTTTTTTTCAGTGTAGAAATTAGCGAAGTCTCACGGAGAAAATACAGAGATAAAGAGGGACCATCCATTGCTATCTTGGCAATGGCGGAAGATTTTACTTTTGGGGGTCCAACATTACACATTTGGACCGAGTTTATCCGAAAGGAACCAGCCCACGTTTTCGAAAAAAAATTTATAATTACAGACTAATTTATCGATTGATCGAATGTCTTTCAATTCTGTTTCTGTCTTAAAATTAAGATTGGCTGTTTACAAATATTTATGATTTATCATTTTATTGTTGTTACTTAGTAAGAGAACCTTTGACGAGTTTTGTAAATTCAATAACTCTTCTAAATGTTAGAGGAACAAAATGATTTCATCATTCCTTACATTATTTGGGAGGTCCTCAGTTCTCATTGTAAAACATGTCGAACATTGTAGGATGGAGCTATGTTCAGAAATCATCATCCGAGAAAAATCAAGAGGTTCGAACATTCAATTTTGAGAGTTGAAGTAAAAAAGAACGTTGATTTGCCAACGAACCGACGTGGAGGGTTTTTGGGAGGGAAACACTTACCGGGTTCCGTTGAGTTGGGTTTAGTCGTTGGCACCAGGACAGTCCGATACTATAAATAGAAAAATAAAATTTTGTAAGAGGAAAAAAATAGGTGGTAAAGATAATTATAAGTTATGAGTAAGTATTCAAAGCCTCATACCTATGACACACGATAAAAGTAAAAAAAAATGATTATGTACTGCGGGCAAGTAAAATTAGACTGATATTGGAGTTGCTGCTTTCATATTTGAGGGCGCTTTTTTGAAGCAAGCAAAACTTGAGGAAATAATCCGAAGTAAAAATATCTGTTAAGTGGAGGTTTCCCGGAAGGGAGAGCGTAACATTTTTCCTAGGCCACAAAACAGACCTTACATTTCAATGTTTTACAACAAATGGTCGGTAACTGTTTGTTCAAAATTTGTCAGATTTCTGCGTGTGATAATTAAAGGAGTACTCTGTGAATTTTCCATTAGAAACTCCGGACTATTACCTTGTGAAACTAAAATTTAGAAGTGCAAATTTTTCATCGGTGAAATATGGTGGCGTTCTTTTCTCTAGGAAACTGCTGCATTCTTAAAATATTTGAAGGAATATTTTTTATGAAATCACGCTTGCTAAAAGCTCTGCAGAAATACGCTAATCCGCCGTGCAAAGAGGCCTTAACATAAATAAAACGAAGTCCAAGCCTTTTACGCCATAATAATTCGGAAGTTTTTCAAAAATGCTTTCATAAAAAAAAAAAAAAAAAAAAAAAAAAAAAAAAAAAAAAAAAAAAAAAAAAAAAAAAAATATCAGTAGTAAAACTGATCTGTTTAGAACATAGGTGCCTTTGACTAGTGAGTGCGGACATATTTTTAAGCAAACACAAGTAGAAATGAAACTTTTTTGGAAGACAACAGTGAGACATTTTTGGCATCGAAATGAAATTAATTTTTTAACCATGTATTTTTTCAAGAATCGATTACGACGTATTTTTATAATTTTCAGGATTTCCATTCATTATCTTAAAAATTAATCGACCTGACGGCGAAACTTAGAAATCACGTGCCTCGGTTTGCAACCTTACCGATTTCCGGGCAAATTTTTATTTTTGGAAGAATGTCAGGCCATAGAATTTACTTAAAATAGCCTGTAATTTTTTTCCCCTTCAAGAATATTCTCTGAGAACTTTCTGCAAACATTTCTATAAAAATCCTCACCACAAAAGGATTGTTATTTCTGAAATATTTCAATTGAGGAAGTATATTTGTGATCTGAATGTCAAATTGCGCATTTGTTCATTTACGGAGGGAAATAGAACAAACCACGACGTCCCGCTGATAAAACACAAGACGCCACAAGCTTGGATGCACCTATTCGAGCTTGGTGGATCCATGTTGCATATTTCATAAATTGAAGGCACTCAGGCTTACGTTTCCCGCGCACCGTTGCGCAACGCGCGCTACAGTAGACCAAAACGCGAGTACTCTGTACCGCTTGACTTCCACTACATTTTAGGGACGCCATCGTTATTTACATACTAGTAAACTAGTACTCTATTCATAGTAATAAATGGTTTACTCACTTGGAAAATCGTAGCCTGAATAATGTTTGGCGGGAAGAGATTCCTGTAAAAAACCCGAAGAAGTTACCTTAAAAATTAACGAATTAAATAATTTAGGCTGGTCAAATTTGATACACACTTTGAAACAGTTATACCTTTGGTTCATTTGCCTTCCACAAAGTTTTGCCAAAGTTTGCTGATCTTAACTAATGGACCAATAGACACGTTACGAAGTTAAACATTGCCATCAAAATTCCAGGTCACACAAGACACAACTAGATTACATATTTTTCGCCTTTCTCTTTGAATCTTTGTGCTTGTCTTATCCATCTTCTCGGTCTTTTTCAAAAAGAAGGAAATGGAGAAAAGGACAAAAAGGAAGTCGAGGAAGAGGAAATCATGACTTTTAATAATCTTTTTTAATACAACGATCGAATTTTTAAAAAACAGTAGAAGCTGTTGTATTGAACTTTAAAATATTTATAAAAAACTTACGCTTTCACTAAGAAATTAATTTCTTAGTAGAGACGTGAGTTTTTTTTTTTTAATATTTTAAAGTTTAAGTAATCTCACTCTTCCTCTACTTCTTCCTTCCCTTTTTTCTTTTTCAAATTTCTAGTGCGTTCTCAATTTACATAAGTCACGATGAGTCATAGATTTGAGAACAAATTCTGTCATACCAGGGCATAAAGTCTAGAATTCTTGACCACGCTCATTCCCTGATTTTTAAAAGCTCATTCCCTGATGAGCAACTGAAGTTTTCTCCCACAACCCGGGATTTTCCCTGGAACAACTACAAAACTCTGCCGAGCTCCAGACATGAATATCGAATTTGTTTCATCTTTCAGCTGATTCTTCGGAAATTTTTCTAATTTTTTACTTTTCTAATTTCTAACTGACAAGAAGGCGTAAGTGACTACACTAGCCTAGAAGAGCACTAAATTTTATTGCTGGCAGGGTTCATTGCAGATTGGCCGCGTCTAGCAGAAAGAAACCGACCCACATCAGCTATTGCCAAAGACGGGGCAATTTAATTTTTTAAAAGAGAGCATTTGTGCGGATTTCCCCCCCCCCCCCCCCCNATTGTTAAGGAATTGTGTGCTTTAATTATGCAGAAAATGTATTGAAATTTGCAAAATCTGTAGAACCCTTTTCAAGTAAATAATTAAAATTGCCCGATTAAATTTGACAACAGCTGATGTGAAATTCAACTTACTGATTGTAGTTACACTCCCATGTCAGGAAGGCGACGATTATTCCAATTATAACTATTTTATCGGGGAACACTGGAAAAAAAACACATTATGGATCTAGAGTCCAGACTCTTAAAAACATCGACAAGACAAAATACTCTTGATTCAATCAGATTTAAGCTTAAATCAAGAACCAAGCTTCTTAATTTGAGCGGATTTCCTTTTGATTTAAGCTTAAATCTGATTGAATCAAGCGTCCTTTTTCTTGTCAATGTTTTCGAGGTCTGGACTCTAGATCCAATGTGTTTTTTTTCCAGTGAAGATTTGGCAACGTTTAAGGGTGCATACGGTGTTTTTCGGGCGGGAGAAAAGAACTAGAATCCTACCTTAAGAGATCGAGAAGAGTGTCTACGGTCGTGACGTTCCGGGAAGCGACCTTCACTTTGGGGACGTTGGGGTCGTCTTCACCCCCGACGCCGGGCTGAACGAGGACGACCCAGAGGATGCCCTGAATGACGGCGAGTGACGTCGTGGCCACGTAGTAGCCGATCGCCCGGAGACCGATCTTCTTCGACAAAGAGAGGTCCAGTGTCCCGACGGCCTGCACGATCGAGCAGACCAGCAGGGGGATGATCATCATCTTCAGCATACGCAGGAACAAGTCCCCCAAGAACGACACGTACATGATCTGCCGCTTCGTCCATCTGCACACGAAAATATCGAAAATCAGCTCACATAATGGGTCAGCTTCGCTAGCCATAGAATTTTGCTTTGATGATTGATTCTTGTAGATGAGTTAAAACTACGAGGAGAAAGAAACTTCGTGCAAGGGACCCGAAGTTGAGGTCATATAGATCTCTGAAGTTTTCGGATTGAGCATTTGAACACTTTAGATCTAGCTGTCAAGGTTCGGATCATGCATCTGAAACTTCAGTTCTTGCATCTGAAGTACTTCGGTTTTCACATCCGAAAAATTTCGATTCTCACATCTGAAGTACTTCAGACGTAAGAACTGAAGTTTCAGATGTGTGATCCGAACCTCCACAGCTAGATCTAAAGTGTTCAGATGCTCAATCTGAGAACTTCAGAGATCCATACGACCTAAACTTCGGGTCCCACGCACGAGGTTTTTTTTCCGTGTACGAGACAAAATTTTCCCGATGTATTTTGAGCCACTGAGTCCGAGAATGGCCTTTATTTTTCCCGTTCACCTCCCAATGGACCACTAGACAAGGTACGAATTTAAGCAATCTGATACATGTTTCTTAACCAGAATTTCACGTTAAACACGATTAGCGCAACGAATATTACTGAAACTAACTCCTAACGAAGATTTCAACGTTTTTATTTCACATTGGTTACGGGGAATTTGAACTGCCCGCTCACAAGAAACTCAAAGCTCTACTCGAGTCAAATCGCGCGCTACAACGGTTTCAGCAAGTTTCTCCATCGAGCAGTGTTCATTTCCCATCATGTGTTGTTCAAACTATAAGCAATTTGCTGTAACTGAGCCAAAGCGTCAATATTGAGGCTGCCAGATTTTTATATCGCAGAGACTGTCATGATAAACGTTCAGCGCGCGATGTGAATCACGTAGAGCATTGAGTTTTCATGAGCGGGCGGTTTGAATTCACGCATCATGAATCATTAAATATCTTCGTAAGGAGTTGATTTCGGTAACTTTTGCTATGCGCATCGCATTTTACGTGAACTTTTGGTTCAGAAACATGTATCAGAATGCTGAAATTCGTACCTAGTCTAGTGGTCCATTTTCCGGAAAAGCGACATTTCTTTGGAAAAATGAGCTAATTTGAGTATATTTGCCGTCATTTTTACCATCAATTATAGTTGACGGTGGTGCTTGACTTGGTGGATGAGCCTGTAGGAGAAAGGGCTTTGAGTGACTGGATGAGTACTTACGGCGTGGACGCGGAACCCCGGAGAATAAATCCTAGGACGACTCCACCTGCAACCCCAGCAACGGTGACGATGGTGAGGAGGTTGTGCTGGATGCACTGTTGCTGTTTGCTTTTGAGCTTGGGCATCCTGCTGCCCCCTGCGTCCCGCTCCACCGAGAGCACGGTCGCCTTCTCCGCCCCTCCTTCACCAGACAGAGGACTCCTACAACAAATCAAAAGCATCTAGGTGAGCGCAGGGTGACATGAAACGTAAGAAAGAAATCAAAGATTGGAAATGTCAGTGAAATATTTCATAAAAATTTCACGAGGCTGTGAAATATTTTATATTTTTCAGGGGCTAGAGTATGCAATCCGCACTCAAACACACAAAAATAGACATAATACATTTTACGAAACATGAAAAACACTCAATGTATGTACGGTATTAACATTCACACAATTATTTGCCTTTATAATTGACAATTTTTGGTGGAAAGCAAAAAATATCTGCTATTCTGAGAGATTTTTTTAGACAATTATGAAGAAGCAACATTTTACAACATTTTAATCGTGTTGATTCCTTTTTGATAACTGTGATCCACCCAGGGTAGCATGAAACGTAAGAAAGAAATGAAAGATTGGAAATTTCAGTGAAATATCTCATGAAATTTCACGAGGCTGTAAACAGGGTGTCTAGTATTTTTTAATTTTGAAAAATCCTGATATTTTCCTGATTATTCCTGATATTTTATAAAAAATTCCTGATTTTTTTCACTTTGAAAATTCCTGATATTTTCCTGATTTTTCAACTAAGACGGCGCGACGACTCCTGGCACGGTAGGCAAAAAGCAGTGAGACTTCTCCGCTGAGGAGATTCGAGTAAGAAAAATTCCTGATAAAACGTCCGATTTTCCTGATATTTTCCCGATTTTTTCCTGATCGGCCAAAATTCCTGATATTTTCCCGTTTTTCTTGATGCTAGGTGTGAAATATTATATATTTTTCAGGGGCTAGAGTATGCAATCCGTACTCAAACACACAAAAATAGAAGAAAGTCACAATTGTTACGTTTTACGAAACATGAAAAGGAACCGGTATTTTTCAATATCTTTCATGAATTTCTAAAATCATGAAGTATTTCGCGCGAAATTTCAAGATTTTATTTTTCATGAAATTTCGCCCATCTAGGTGAGCGACGGCAAAATGATGTTAAATCGCAGAGTCAAATTCAAAACGCCGCACAGTGGATCGAGCCAATGGGAGATTTCGGGCAAAATTTGAAAACTTTAAACGCTTATAACTTCGTTTATACAAGCTATAAGGTTCCAAAATTGGTTTCATTGGTTTTCTCGTAAAAATCTAGTTTAGGAGCACTTCTTAAAATTTAAAATGTGACGAAATAAACGTCAAAATTTGCAGTTTTAGTCAAAAATTTCATATTCAACCTCTCTGATTGACTCGATCCACTATGCGCCAATCAAAAAGTACACATGCACATATAAAATTGGACCCCTATAGGCAGAAAGGAACCAAGCCACATCAGCTATTGCCGAATTTAATTGGATAATATAATTTTTTTACACAAGAACAGGTGTGCAAATTTTTCTGCAAATTTCAGTAAATTTTCTGCGTAAAGCGAAGAAGATTCTTTGAAATTTTCATAGAAATCCGTACAGACGTCCTTTTAATTTTTGGCAATTTATGCTTGCTTGAAAAATTGAGGGGCTTGGAGGACATGCAAGGCGCGTGAGTGCAGTTTTTGAACAAAATTGAGATACTCATGAAATCAACTAGAACCAGTTTGAACGTATATTCGGTGAAGAATTCACAACTAAAATGCGAATTTGAAGTATCAAAAAGTGAGTTTAAACTATCCATCCACCATAAAGCTCCATGGTAATTTGGAAACTTTAAACACCTATTGCTTGAAATAGCGAAAGCGGCACCTACTCGCCAGCCCCTCGATTCTCCTTGCAAATTTTTTCAACATTCTTATTTGCTGTTAGCACTCTCAAGTGCTGTAAATATTAAAGAAACAAACAACTGACAGAGAGTAACCGAAACCATTGTCCGAGTGGTCTCTAACAGACAGGAGATCTCATCCAGAAAGTAATATTTGTTTACAGGAAAGCTTTTTGAGGTAAGATAATCTTATGCCCAAGTTTATTTTTTCGCATTCTACCATTACACGCTATAATTTTACGGGCGTTAAACTCGTGTTTTTGCTGGTCTTAGACTCCTAACTTCACAATCAGCGTAAGAAATATCGACGGTGCAAGTCGGCAATCACACAACTCGGTTTGCGACGTCGCAGACTTCCTGTCATACTTTATTTTTTAAACGGAAAACTATTCAACGGCAATTCTTTAAAACTGCCATGATTTTTCTTCATTGTGCGAAGAAAATTCTGCAAAAACTTCAAGGAATGATGTCAATTAGTTCTCCTTTAAAAAAATAACATCGAGGCGGAGATTTTCAGACACCGCAAACGAGTTATGTGATTGCCGACTTGCATCGTCGATATACGTTTTCTTAAGCATCGCAAACGACACCTTGCGGCCTAGGATGCTACACTATATTCAACATAACCGACGCCAGCCCGACAAAACACAAGTGAAAAGGCGTGATTTTACTAACCGACGTGTTTACATATATTTACATTTTCCTTGCATTGACATAAATGCATGGTGCTTCCTCAAGATTTGCGCGTAAAAGTGTCAGCTATGTTGAATATTGCGCGTAGCATCGTATATATAGTGCGCAAGGTTTGGACGGAACGACTCCTCTCACGAAATGTTCACCTGTGCCGTAAGTAGTATCGTTTTTGAAGCGGGACACTGGATAAAAAAACCGCTTGGATCTTGAGTCCAGACTCTTGAAAACTATGACAAGAAAAAATACTCTTCATTCAATCGGATTTTTCCTTGAATTGAAGAGCCAAAGCCTCTTGATTTAAGCGGATTTCCTTTTGATCCAAGGAAAACTCCGATTGAATCAAGAGTATTTTTTCTTGTCAATGTTTTCAAGAGTTTGGACTCTAGATCCAAGCTTCTTTATTTTTCAGTGATATTTTTGGGACCGGGAAGGTTTGCTTAGGAAAAATGCACTCAGACGCTTTCTCATGCCTTTACGAATCCATGTCGCTCATCCGAGAGCAAGGAAAATGTCGCTGAAGAGTACTCAGGGCGACTCTCTCAGAAATCTGAGTGTCTCAAGGAAATGTTCTATATTGATAGTAAATCAGAGTGAATTTCCATACAGTGCTCGGCGTACACTACACAATACGGTGCACACTCCGGCAGGCGCAGTGTAGACAATTAGCACGTCAGAACGTATATGTAAAATGGTGTAGTGTTTGAAGTATCTCCGGGATGTGGAAGGCGCTATATCGGGTGCCCGCAAGTACGCCTTACCTGCTCGCGATAGTTTGAATTCGCGGAGTCAGAGAATTAAAGCACTACTGCCGCGCTAAGGAAGAACGCCATATGAATATTCGAGAGTTGCCAAATTGCCCTGGATAAAGCATGTATTTTGAGAACGTGAATGCGTATTTTTCCTTGAAATTTTCAGACATTTTAGACGAAGTTGCGAACAAAATTGTCTGAAAAAAGTTAAGAAAACATGCACGATTTTCCCAATAAATTAAGGTTCCATTGAAGGAAATGTGGCAACGTCTGAATTTCAATGCGCGCAAAAGTGTCAGCTATGTTGAATATTGCGTAGCATCCTATAGTGCGCAAGGTTTGGACGGAACGACTCCTCTCACGAAATGTTCACCTGTGCCGTAAGTAGTATCGTATCGAAAAAGTACTCTTGGTTCAATCAGAATCTATCTTAAATCTAGACCCAAGTCTCTTAATTTGAGCGGATTTCCCTTTGATTTAAGCTTAAATCTGATTGAATCACGAGTCCTTTTTCTTGTCAATGTTTTCAAGAGTCTGGACTCTATATCCAATGTGTTTTTTTCCAGTGAGATTCTGAAGTTAGGAGTGTATTTCAGACTTTTCCAGAGAATCAACTCCTCGTTCTGCTTCAGCTGAAGTTAGCGAGAGGCCCATTCCGAGAACTACGAGCCCGGGATTTGCCTTCAGAGCCACGCCTATGACGATGAATCGCGAGGATCTGAATAAAGACGCAACCGCGAGATGAGTAGGCGAGGCATCGCGGCAAAAGCCCAAGAATGAGGAACCGATCACAGTCGGATCGGCGCTTTCAACTCTCAAGGCCGTCGCGGGGCCTCATCAACGCAAAACGCCGCATCCACAAACCCCACCTCACAGCGAAACAGCGATCAGACCGCGCTGATAAACTGGACCGCTTCAGCAGAATGGAATCAAGTCACTTCAGCCAAACTTCATTGGATTTTTTTTTTTTTTTTTTTTTTTTTTTTTTTTTTTTTTTTTTTTTTTTTTTTTTTTTNTTTTTTTTTTTTTTTTTTTTTTTATGATGCGGCACTGGAAAAAAACACATTGGATCTAGAGTCCAGACTCTTAAAAACATCGCCAAGAAAAAGTACTCTTGGTTCAATCAGAATCTAGCTTAAATCAAGAACCAAGCCTCTTAATTTAAGCGGATGTCGTTTTGATTCAAGCAAAAATCCGGTTGAATCAAGAGTATTTTTTCTTGCCAATGTTTTCAAGAGTCTGGACTCTAGATCCATATGTTTTTTTTCCAGTGTACACTACCGTTTTCCATTGAGAAAAATGATGACATTTGGCAGCAGTTGCGATGCTACTTAGTTCCTTTCTGGTGAATGCGGTCCAACTGATCTATCACTGACACTCGGAGAGGAGCTTCGGAATTTAAAAAGGGTGTTCCCCTCTCCACCCCCTCAACCCCCTCTCCAACCCCCCCTCCGCCACTCGACGTTGATGACACGCCGGTAAATTAGCTTGGCTTCATTCATTCATCGATTCATTAAAAGCCTTTGTTTTGACCCTTTCGATTCGATGATGACCCCGACCGAACTTTTTCGCTCCGGTCGGCAGCCGACTCTCCGGCGTCGTCGGTCGTGAGGTGACGAATGAACGCTGGATTTATAGAATAATATTTTCACAAAAATAATTACACTGAAAAATGTCGGATATCGACGGCCAAAGTGCGGAAACGTTTGCAACGCTTTTTCGTGATGGCGAGGAGAGCCCTGGGTGCAAAACTTTTTGCGACTTTGGGACTATGAATCGGCGCACAGTGGATCGAGTCAACAAGAGAGGTCGGACGAAA